TTATCATTATAATAACATTATTATTATTATTATTATTATAACATTTAATTATATAATATTTAATCTATATATATATATATATATATATATATATCCTTTATGCAAAGTGATAAGATAAAATCAATAATATATTAAGTATTTATGCTAATATATGTTTGATTTAAATATGCTATCGATATTATTATTATTATTTAAAATTTAAAAATTCAAAAATGGCATATAAATGCTACAAAGTTACATTCGAGTTATTTTTTAAAAAATAAAATTATTAATTAATTTGTAATGTTTAACGTTTCCTTTCTCTTTTTCTCATTCCTTCTATTTCGCTAATGAAATATTAAATTTAGTAATTATCACCTTAAATTCCAATTAAACAACTAATCAATTTGTATAATTACATCATGAATATATGCTTGTTGAAGCAATTAGTTAAAATATTTAAATGATTTTCTCTTCATTTAAATAAGATTAAATCAAATATTATTTCAGTAATATTCTCTAAGAAGGTGTGGAAACAAAAATTTTGTTGGTAAATGTTAGCGAAAAAGAAAAACTTTTTGACCAATTTCAAATTAAAAATAATATGCAAATGAAATTTGAAATAGAGCTAATTGTTTTAGCAAATTTTAATGAATACAATAAATTTGATTAAAATAACAATTTAAAAAAGATTAAAGGTAAAGAAAGATAAAAATTAATCCATAATCCTCATAATTTTTAATCGTATTTGATCAAATTTGTTAAATTAAAGCAAAAAAAAAAATCATTAGATTAAATGAGAATGGTTAAAATAATTAGAGAATTGATATATTCATTCTATTACTTATTTTATAAGTAATAATAGCTTACAAGTAATTTTATCCTTAATTTTTTTCCACCTTTTTTTTTAGTTACAATTTAAATTTGTTTGCTTTTTTAGTTGCAATTTAAATTTGTTTACTTTTTCATTCATTTCAAACATTGATGAAAATGTTTTTGTAAATTGAAAATAAATGCATTGAAATTTAAAAGGATAAAAATTTTAAAATATTAAAAAAACTTTTTCTTTTAAAAAATTTTTAAATTTAAAAACGAACGTTTTTTTCAAAAAAAAAAGGGTAAAACAAAATGATGAAATTTTTCAACCTTTATCATCATCCAAATCCTGTAAAAGTATACCGGGTCCGGATTCTCGACGTAATGCTGACCTTGATGTTAATAATGATTTGAATTGATTTGTATATCCGCTAATGCGTAATATATCCGAACTGACCTGGAATTAAATTGTATTTTATCGTTGAAAAATTTTTTAACAAAATAAATTATTTCTTATATGAAAATTAAAATTTGAAAATTATTTAATGAATTATTTTAAAATTTTTGTTTAAATCAAGAATAATAACAAATGCACGTATTATCTGATTAGGAAATTAGAGGATTTGTTTGTTTAATTATTTAATTAAATTATATTTATTGTTGCTAACATTCTTGTAATGGTACTGTACAAATTACAATAACAATAACGATGGTAGTTGATTGCCAAAAAAAAAAAAAAGAAAAGAAATTAGAATCATAAATTGAAAAATTAAAATATTTTTGGTTCGTCAAATTAAATGATTAAATTTCATTGCATCACTCTCCCTCTCCTCCTCCGTAAAATATTCAAATTATTGGAATGAAATCAATGGATGAGTTTACTCGGTAAATAAACAACAATGCTTTGCAAATATTCTTTCATTAAAAAAAAAAAAGTCTTTGATATATAATTCTTTTTGAAATAATTAATTTTTAAAACAAAATTAAATATATGACAATAAATTATTTTATTTTTGGTTTTTTAAAACTTTTTCCAAAATTAATTTGAAAATATAATTAATTAAAATAATACAGCCAATTAAAATGTTGTATTTCAATTGAAGCATTATTAATTTAAAAGTAATAATTTGAATTGTTTCAACCAAAAAATATTTTAAAATTTTATTGATAAATAAGAATATTCACTTAAAATATTCAATAGTATGAAATAAATTGTTAAAATTTTCAAACTAAAACTATCGATAATAAGAGAGAGAGAG